AACGACTAAACTAATTTATTCTCGATCAACGTTAAACGTTGCCAATTGGGGAGACAAACATAAGTTGTAGAGATTGTGGCAGAGTGATGGATTATCTTCAGGGTGATGGGTTATCTCTAGTTAGGTTGGGACTGATAAATTCCCCCTCCCCTCAAATTATTTTTAATACAGAATTTTGGGTGACTTCGAGAAGTGCAAATTTTGAAAACCATGTTTCCACTTAGAAAATTTTTTGTAGACTATTTTTTTGTATTATTGAATCCAATAATTCAAGTTTCGTTAAATTACTATTTTTAAATTTGTTTTCACAGTTAAATTCGTTAGTCTAGTAAACTCTATAATAAACCTGTCCACTGTCATTTTAAATATCCCTTTCCTCAAACACTAATGTAGAGATTACTAAACCACTCTAAAAAATCGATCGTGTTTTGGGCAATGGATTATTAACATTGATGCTTAACTTTTGAATGTTAATTTTAAAATTATTTATTTTATAATTTAATTATTTATCAAAAACAGTTGTGTGTTGTGAGAGAGTAGTTCGTTTTGTAACATGGATGTTTTGTTGGCTACGTTGTTTTATTCCACTGGCCGCGGCGCGTGTATGTGACGCAGCACCTCCCTGCGGCCAGTGGACAGCAGCGCGGGCGCCGCCTGCCGCCGCTTGCTGCTGTACTCGCTGTTCGCGTGGGGCGGCCCCGCCCTTATTGTCGCCGTCTCCGCCTACCTCAATTTCGCCAAGGGCCTCTCGCGGGCGGTGCTGCGCCCAGACATCGGCCGGCAGGGCTGCTGGTTCAAGAGTGAGTCCCGCTACTTTGGTCTATCTCCTACAGAATGACACGGAATTAATGTTACACATTTCTACGGCATGAAGGGGGTCGAAGGTAAGCACTTTTGGGGAAAGAACGTGTGAAAAATATATAACGAAGTTACGTGAGAAGTTTTGCTGATTAGTAGACAACTTGTTGTGCACTGCTGTTTAGCATGTACACGTTCTGAAGCAATCAGAGGTTTCGTTTACCTGTGAACGCGGTGCAATGAAAGTATACCAATCAGAGACAAACATCACTTGAGAAAATTCGTTGTATGAGCTTTATCACTTCGTATTTATGAACAAAAATAATTTTTGAATCCCCTGCACACCATAAGAATATTTCACTAACAAGAAAAACGAATGCTAAAGATCTTCATATTATGTGAAAGTGACAACCCAGAATTTTTAGTTCTGGCTGTAATATTTGATCATAGGAAAAAATACAAGAGCCAAATTTTACTCTTTCCAGAAACGTGTAAAAATAATAGAATGCAAATTATTTATTCATTGTAAAATAATATAAATTTTCCAATAATTTAACGCCTGTTAGATATAACAAAGTAATTAACACTGGAGTTTGTACTCATTCATCCGACATAAACCTAATCAAACCTTGCATTTTAGTAAAAAGTGCCCTTGTGAATTTCACAGAAAATGGTACAAATGCCGTGGGTAGACGTTACAAATTAATTACTCGTTTCACTGTCATAATTTATTGTAGAACACATTAAGATGAACAATGTTGTTATTCACTGACAAATTTGTAAAACATATTTATTTATGAAAGAAAGCATAGTCAAAAGATCCTGTTTCTTTCCTGCAGTGATTGTACGTGAACGCCGAACCTTTGGGATTTCCTGCATTTCCCCAAAACTATGACAATTTTACCTCAGTACTGAAAATGTTGCAGAAATTCCATTCTTCAAGATCACAGAATTATTTCTTAATTTTATCCTTCCAAGACAAGCTGTATTTATTTAAATAAATGAAAGAGTGCTGATCTCGAGATTTTTTAAATTAATATGTCTGTAAGCTTCTGCAGCTAAATCAAAGATATTATGGTTTCGTATCGACCCCTTCAAACGGATCCTTTAAGCGTGGAGATTTCTCTATGTCTTGTAATTCCTTTGGTACCTTAGCTTTGAATACTCTTACGTATTTCAATAATATCAAAGACTCTTTCATAGGTCATTAAGATGTGTGCTCTTAAAAAACCATCTAGAATTATATTTTTTAAATGAATGTAGCTTTCTACAATACAACGAACTTTTCCTTCGCCAGAATATCAGTCTAACACTTCAAAGGCAATTTTTAATCATTTGTTTCAGAAAATTTAAAGAAAAAAAAAACAAACTAAAATAGTACGTACAAATAAAACATGATTTTTTTACTCAATGTAAGAAAGCACTTCCATAATATTTTGGTTACATTCAAATAGTGCATTAGACATGTTTGTTCTACATTTTACAGTTCTTGTAGTAGGAACGAGACCTTATGTAGTTGGCTATGAACAATTTTATGACATTTTGTATTGGCCAACCAGAGATGGTTAAGGTGATGGTGTTGATGGGCTTCAAGACGAATAACAAGTCTGATTTCTCAATATTTTTGCGCAAAAAAATGCTTATGTTGTAAAAGGATCTCGTCTAATGTAATACATTATAAATAGTAACACTTACAATTTCATTACAAGTGATTCATACTCGTAAAAAATAATATTGCAAACCAAAACAGGTCATTTACTGCAGAAACGTTTAAGTGCACGGGTTTAAACTTTTTTTGAAAAAATATAATGAGATCAGTAAAAAAATATTAACATGAAAACTATTTATTTATCAACTGCAAAATATATTTTAAAATCGGAAAAACCAACCCTACATCGCTAGGACACTATTTTAGTTTTCTCGAAATGAGGAATTTGGCGTTTGACGGGAAATAAACGATTCTACTGCGGCAGAGAATTTCGAGGTACACCTCGCATCATCTATTAGGTCACCAACAAACTACAAAAATATTGGCACAAACCAGATGCAGAGCTATTGGTGACTTTGTATTGGAGGCTCCGGAATCTGATACGTGTAGTTGTAATAGTACATTGTAATGCAATGAAGGCCAATAAAGTGATTATATAAAACGAATTGGCATGTTTGCAACATAAATCAAGTGCTCCAGGTCTCACACAGAATTTAAGAAAGAAAATAAAAGAGGAAACCAAAAACGATCTTAATTTATGAAGATATTATTTGCGAGAGGAAACGGCGCTCCAAGAATTAAGTGATCAAAAGAGAAAAGAAGAGGATATTGACAGGATTTTCAAAAGAATATGCCACTGCTAAACATAACCAGCATTGTTGTATATTACAAACGTTAACTCACAGTTTATTTATTTAATATTCACTTTTCCATTATAGGAATCTCTGTTCTTTACTGGTAAGGAGAGACTGGCGGATAAAAGAGAACACGATATAGGGGCAATGCAACACCAAAGATATTTACTTTCCGTATTCTGCGATTCTTTTTCTTGCCTAAACCACCTTTTTACATTATTTAGGTTCATCCATTACGTTTTATTCACACTAAAATGAAAAGAAAGATCATGACATTTCTAGAATGTGGACACTCCTATCTTTAATGTAAAAAAAACTAGGATTAATGTCTTAAACATCTGTAACAGAATAATTTAAACACTGGTATGAATTATTACGCTACAATAGCAATAATGATCATTCCATGTAATAGTGACTGCAGACGGTTTTTAAGAAGTGGAATATTTTTTTAAGAAATGGAGATCTTAGAAAGCAGGGAAACGGCATAAAAAAGCTCAATTACGCGATTTTTATGCTTTGAATGACTTCAGATGCGTTACTTTAACGTTTCTATTTCCAGAGGGGAGTACGGTGCTTGCTTACTACTATGGGCCTGTGCTGTTCCTGCTGCTGGCCAACGTGGCGATGTTCTCGTTCACGGTGATGCGGTTGCGGATGGCGCAGCGCGACATGGCGCATCTCAAGAACGAGGAGGGGCAGCTGACGGGTGGCGCCCTGCGGAGGCGCCGCGAGCGGTAAATAATCCTCATTCCTTACCTCAGAGCACATTAGCAAACGCTCACAGACCGAGATTAGCTCAGAAGCAGACTTCCCGTTGTCTCTGCAGCAATTCCGACGGACTGCCTCAGTGTTCGAGTCGCTTAATAGAAAAGTTGACTTCAATACTTTCTCGAGGAGAATTATAGTGGCCGATCGCTGTAAACAGAAATTTTTTGCTGTTTCTCCCAATAATACGTTTCAATAGAGGGAGCAGTGCCCTAACAATCGCACCATGGACCACGCCTGACATTTCCCCCTCTTCCGTGTCCTACTCTCTCCCAGTACACTCTCACTCACAGATGCAGCACACGACCACACGGACAGGGAGCTTGATGCTTATCCCAGTGAGGCGGTGGGAGGGGCTATCTGAAAAAAAGTCCCCGGCGAGCTGAATTGTAGGTTGGCGCCGCCAGGGGGAAATCATCACTGCTATCCGACATGAAACATTCACTACACTAACGAGGCTAATGAACATAGCAATTGACGCGTCCAGAAATATTAATAAATCAATCAAGCAAATGATCAGTTCCTATTACCCTATCCTATTATGCGCTTGAGACATTTTGTTTATTGGAATGTCTTCAGTCATAATGCCTCTCCAATCATATTATATTTAATTTGGGTTGTGCTACCGAAATTGGGCTTTGATGTGAAATAATGGAACGTTGCAAGGGTGGAATGAGACGGAAGGAAACGGAAAGTCCCTAGAAACCATTGTATATTAAATGTTTTTGTAGAGGTATTTATTTTAATTGAACGCACATTGAGTGGGACCAAGGGTTTGAAGGAATGCTCTTGTAAGCAGCTTGTGCTAAAAATTGTTCGCTCTGATACACTTGAGGTATCATCGAAAGTGATGGAGATGGCGCTTTTTGTATGAGGGCTTTATCGCTCAGATTTGTATGACGTGGCCTCTCGCAGTGGTGATGAGAACATCACTGGCAAAACGTGTCATGGAGATACTGCGTTTACATGCTGCTGCTCTAACGAGAGTAACGCTGTAACAAGAGCAGTTTCATGGTTACTGAAAGTGGTGAAGTGGGCGACACAGCTGTAGGTTGTGTAGATGCTTTGTTAGCAGGTGGATGTTGTAGACTCGGGGGATGACGCGGCTATTAAAGATGGTAGTGTGAACGTCACGGTTGGAGGCTTCATGGAGATATTGTTAGCAGGCTGCTGCTCTTTGCCAAGCTACCGTCTCTAATAGACGTGATGTGGCTGCTGGAGGTGATAGATGTTACGAGTAGATGCTCTGTTGACAGGCTGCTGCTGTACGCCAAGCTGTTCTCGCTGATGGGCGTGACGTGGCTGCTGGAGGTGGTGGCGTGGGCGGCGGGCGCTGGCCGCATCACCGTCTTCGCCGTGGACTCGCTCAACGTGCTGCGCGGCGTGGGCGTGTTCGTCGCGTGCTGTTGCAAGCGCGAGGTGCTGCGCTCCCTGCGCCAGCGCCTCTCCGAGTTGCTGCCGTGCGCGCCCCGACCGCGCATGCGCGAGCGCGGCCTGTCTTGCACCGTCACCACCACGCTCAGCGTCTCCACACCTCTCTCCACACGCATGCGGCACTTCGACAGCCTCTCCGCGCGCTGAGCGCTCTGCTCTGCCCTTCGCTTCGAAATTTAGTGTTTCGGAAGCGCGGCAACTGATGGGGTGATTCGCTCCCGAAGTGTATAGTGCGTGTAAAAATCCGAGGATGTTTCTCTCCAATTAGAACGTGGTATCTGTCACCGATCTACATTACGGTTCAGTGCCCCTTCCAGTTGTCTGCCCTCAACGTGGCACCCCTCTAGCTGGGGCGAATATTAAACTCGTGATGCGGTCCAACGTTCTGTGTTAGTAAAGAGTGTTTGGGTGTGAGTAAGGGGAGACAAGAGGTGAGGATTAGGAAGGAAAATTCGTGTGGATTCCGTCACCACCTTCTTAATATAATGCTCCAGCATTCACCTGATATTGGGCGCCACGACCGCGCTTGCTAGTGCACGGTTTGCCCTGCACCGTAATCCCCTCGCTCTGTGTCTCCACGCCCCTCTGCATGCGCATGCGCTTTGACAGCCTCCCGGCGGCACGCTGGGTGCTCGCCCCTCCGATTCCATTAGTAGTGTTTCGGGTGTGCGTGAACCGACGTTGTAATTGGGTCCGGAAGTGTAGCGCATGTTATAATCACAGAGGAGGCGGCGTTTCTCACCTGCTGAAACGTGAGATCCGTCGCCGACCTACATAACCGGTCATAGAGTTTTGCCCCAAAGGTATTCTCCGTTAAAGTGGCATCTCCCCATCTCTGGAGTGGTCTTTTGACAGTGTTAGTGAAGTGTTTGTAAGTGTGTGTGGGTGTGTGTAAAGGGAGACCTGAGAGCGAAGATGGAAGTGATGGTCGCTGACATTTCGTCACCAGTTTCATGAGGTTCAGCCTCAGTATTTATCTGATATTAATAGGGATTATCATGCAAAAGTACTGATTAGAATCGTCGGTCGCTGTAATTCTCCTCCAGACAGTAGTGCTCTGGATATAATATGCAATATATCCGGTATAAAACACTACTACTCTTATGGGACTAATAGTGTAAATAGGAACTAAATAGTTCACGTGCCATGAATCAATACTGGCTCAGTATGAGACGTGATGAAGCTAGACTTATAAAACTGGCGTCAGTGAACGGCTTGCCGTTACCCCAATCACAAAATGTGAAAACCCGGACGGGTACACCATGGCATATTCCGAAGAACATTACTGAAAAATATAGTAATGGTTAAAATTTAAACAGGGTTTGGAAAATTTAAAATTTGATGTGTTTCTTTTGCTTCTGTTGTTTTTCTTGTTGTTGTTATTGTTGTGTCTCGGTGTTATCTCGGTGACGCCGCGTCGTTGGCTGAGAGGCAGACCTTTCGCCTGTCACATCGCAGGTTTCCTCAGGGCCACTACCCTACACTCTCAGCCAACGATGCTGTGTCACCCGGACAGCCAAGAAGTCATGAACTCGAGACGCAGAATCATACGTGTACAGTTGTTGTTGTTGGAATGACACCTAGTGGCTCTATGAACTAAATCTTTGACCTCCTCAACTGAAGCGCGCAAAGCAGAAGCGCGAAGCGAATGGCGCGATCGCTCGTACACGAAATGACTAGCGATAGTTGGCAGCAACAATTTGCAAGAGAAGAATCTTGCAGACGAAACGCGTCCTAACGACTTGCACATTGTAGTGCAGTCAACGAAATACTTTTTATCTGTCAAAGTATTGCCACAAGGGTTATTGATGTTATGATATATCAAACGAGTATCATTACAAAAAACCATCTATGATGGCACCATAACATTTTATATTTCATCTGATAATTATTTCGATGATTACTTAGAATCGTAAGACAAGGTTTCTGTAAAATTAGTGTTTCATGGCAAAAAATACAATATTTAGATAATTTTTTCTCATTAACTATAATGTGATTGTATTGAGTGAAATAATGCAAATGCTTTTATAAACTTCATTATTACATATTCATTAATTACGCATGTGCCTTAATTCGCTTTATGTAACACTTTTACTTAGTTGAAAAGCGTCAGTTCAATACTTCGACATCATTATGTTAACCAATAATTTATATGAATGGTGGTTCGTAATTCGGTAAATACTCATATTATTAGAGATTGATATCAGGCACTTACGCACACAAATTCAGTTATCCTTTGTATCTTTTAAGAATCTAAAATATCAAATGAAATATTCCCAGACACAATATCTAGAATAATATTGTTTTACTTTGTATCTCAAAGTTTTCTCAATGTGTCAAAATGTCAAAGTGACCTTTTAAATCGTAATCTGTAAATATGTAAATTACAATATAAAAATGTACATATAAGGGAAGGAATATAGAATAATTGAATGAATAATGGACTCCTCTTATTTCATATTTAAGTAGATCGCAGAGTCCAAATTGTTTTAACAAAGAATATTCGCCAAACGACTGTACTGCGATTCCTGTACCATGCTCAGTTCCAATGATTCATTTTCATTAAAATGTTTCATAAATGTCCCTACTGTGCTTTTTGAAAATAACCAAAATAACCTTCACAATATTTGTATGTGAAAACAATGATTTCAAAAAGTACTCTAAAAATAATCGAGTGTTCAATAGCACTGGTTTATCTCGTTTAATCGCACTGAAAATTTCTATTCTCAATTTATTTTACATTTTAGAACGTAAAATGAAGGTAGAAGACTGGAGAACAGCCCGCTTTGCTTTGCTGCTTTTACGGACTCATAATCACCAAACAGCCCCGCCGTGTCCGGAAGTTAAGAACATGTTGAACAACAAGAAAAATTAACAGCCTAATTCCTTCAATACAGATTAAAAAGTCTGCGTTGAAGGAATTAGTGACATGATCCTTTAGTTCTACTCTCTACAACCAAGATGTGTTTGGCAGGAAGTTGAATTCAAATAGGATGAAGGACATAGTTTAGTCTCCTCTGAATGTGTTGATTTATTTGATAGAAGATAGGCTATAATTAAATTTGTTCCAAGAATTGTCATCCCGTCCGGGATTCGAACCCGGGTCTCCTGGTTTACGCTCAGTTTCTCTAACCACCAGGGAATATTCGAGAGTAAACGCGTCTAAAGCGGTGGCTGGGTGGTGAAAATTACATACACTATACTATTTGTTTTGGATAGTGTTATGTAATGAATTTTTTTGTTAAGAACGTTATGTCCTCTTAAATCGATAACAATCTTCCTTCCTATCACATTGCCTTTTTTCCATTTAGATAGATCCCTTCCCTGGGGTGAAGTTATTATTTGGAGAGAGAGAGCCATTTCATTACTGATAGTACACGTAAATATTTTAAAAATAAAAATATACATTTAAAAAGGGTTTATCTATAATTCTAATACTCTTCTGAAACATCATGTTCTCAAAACGTGATAATTTACTTGAAATTAATTGAGTAAACTTTCAAAAAGTAACATGCACCCATAAGTAGTCTTTTTTTGGATGTATTTCCAGTATTTCTGTCATTTCCCAGATCCGTAATTAAAAATGAATGTTCCTGTTGAGTAGGGAAGAGAATTCTCTAACACTTTGCTAGCAATTTTAAAACTTATTCTGTTTGCTGAAAAGCGTCTTTCTTTTCCCGGAATAAAATACATCACAATCTTTATTTGTTTCCTCTCGCTTCCTTGTTTATTGCCTTGCTTGACGGCCTGTTTGTTTGTGCTAATCGGTATTATTAGGAAGGGCCGGTGAGAACCAACGAATTATGGAATATTAACGATATAGTAATAATAATATGAATGATTCTATGTCATCTACACTTATGAATAATAGAGTAAGCCAAAACGATTATTTGGATAATCAATCAAAAAGTTAATAACCAAGTTAATGAAACTGCGAATAATTAATTCATGTCTCTCGCAGTTCTGCAATTCATTTAACATATTTTTAATGTTATCATAAGAAATAAAAAATATTTCAGATTATTGAAAAGTGTATGTTAAGGTTAAGTCTCTATTGGTTTCGAGCTCTATTTGATGATAATGACTGCGTTTTATTGATTATCACTGGAAATATCTAAAAATTGCCCCACAATCTCCACTGATAGATGCAGCTTAATTAAAACGAATGCTGTTCAAGAGTTAACATTAAGGTAAGATTTATTATGTTATTCTTAAATGTTAGAAAACTGATAGAGTATGTTGTCATTGTAGCAGCCTGGTGAGAGTTTTCCAAGAGATGGCTGAAATAACAGTGTAAGTCGCAATATAATTATAAGAACTTTACGTAACCATAAGCCAAGAATTTGGGATTTAAATTGTTAATGCTCACAAATTTCGCCCTTTCCTCAGTAAAAAATGTGTACTGAGGAAAAGAACGTAGCTGCTGCCAAACATTCCTATTCTTAAACCCATTTTATTAAAATTTGGTAATTACTGAAGGGGTTAAAAATTTTTATATGAAACGTAACGTTGTGTTCGGGAAGAGCATTCCTTGCTGCAGCTTCCTTGCAAAAGGTATACCTATTTTAAGGCATTAGTACACAGTCGTTATGGTGTACTTGTTTCAAACAGAAGGGTAAGTTTCGAAGAAAATATAAATGTGGTTGACGATTGGATGTGGAGGGGGAAGGCGTGGCCACGTACTAGCCACGCACTGCTCTAGCATGTTACGGTCCATTCGGGAAGTACAGTAGACGCCCGGGTATCTGGTTCGCGACTATCCGGCCTCCGTACTATCCGGCCTTGCTTCCTTCAATCGTAATGAATTGACGAACAAATTACATTTCCAAGGCATTCGAAGAGGGCACCCGCTGCGATCCTCCTACGTGTCGTGTGCAAAATACAAGTTGCGTGCAAAACAAAATGAGTTTGAATCAATGTTTTAATAATTGCTCCTATGGTTTATGTTTTCTTGCTCATGTTTTCTGCATTTACATTAAACATTACAGAATTTATGTCAAAATGTGAACAGTTTGATTCTTTAACTTACAAAACGTGTTTTAATGTTAGGTCCTTTTGAACAAACACCTGCAGTCTTGCAAACAAACAATCCACTAAAATAGCCCTTCAAAAAAATGTTTGCACGTATGTTCATACCTTTTGCATTGTCACTGACAGTTCTTTGCGCATGCATGATTCTCCTTCGGAACCACTTATGAACAAAGAAAGAAGATAAAAGTTTTTTTTCTTATTCACGCTTACTCTGGAGTTGCATACGGTTCCAGCCGTTGGCTCTCCCGTCGAATTCGCGTGGCAAGTCCCCTTTGACTACACAGATCGAGAGATGAAATATATATTAAAAAATGTTTTTACGGCTCTACCTAAGCTATTCCCTTTACCTTTTTTACCGTTTCAAATATATCCATTTGAGAGTGAATGCAGATGTGTGTGCTTACCTCTTAGAGGAAAAAAGTCCTTTCTGACGTTTCCCCACCTCTCACCACACTACTCGTGGACGGCTCTAGTTATCTGTTTGTGCAGGGGTTCGTAGCGTAACGATAAATAATCTAGTTCCCTTGTTCTATCGAGTTTACATCCATCCTCGATACGGTGGATCGTTAGTGCTCTCGATGTGGTGGCTACTTTCGTTACCGGAGGAGGCGCGTTGTTAAAAAACACAAGGGTGCAGAACATTTATTTTAACTCGACACATGACCAGCAACAACTTCTATGATTCACCGGGCCGAATCCGGGTACACATTCTCTTATGGTAAAATGTGGATAAATAGAGGGATTTGTATTAAATAACAAGCGAGAATATAAGTATTATAACTGTGAGTTTTTGTATAAAAAATTCATGTTTTGGTACTGGTGGGGCAAAGAAATGAGTTCATAGAACTCCGGCCTATCCATCTCTTTTGTTGTTTGGCCTGCCCTTTCACCACTTTAGGTAAGATATTTGGAAATCTACTATACTGAAAAAGTGAGGTTTCTCGAAAAAAGGTCATAAAACATTTTTCTTTGGTTATGTTGTATGTGCCTTGACACTATTTAAAAATCCCACATTTTCGACCTCTCAGCCCCTATGATACCTCCCTGAACCCCGAAAAAACATTTTTTTTCTTTTTTTCTTCGTTTTTTCTCTCTATAGCCTTCAACCTTACGTTCTGTAGGAAAATGATTTTAGTCTATTTCAAAGACGACGAACTTTTGTATAAAACATTTCTTTGGACACCGATTGTTAAGCAGTTAAGTTGAAACATATTAAAAATTCGCTTTTTTAAATTTCTCTAACATGTGTGCAAAAATACACTTGTATATGAGATTAAAATCAACTGAAAACTTATAATAAGTATAATTATTATTACATGTAATACTTTTATTTAGCTCATCGATAGAGTAAGCATTGCTCACCAGTGTTCATTGGTTCTG